TAGAAACAATACAAATGCACAGTGAGAGAAAAATTAAAATAAAAAAGGTTTACTACTACATGGCTGCATGTCTTCGGGGTTTATATGGGCTCTCAAAATTCAAATAATCAATGGTTTGGAATGAGACATGGAGTAATACGTACGTTTATAGTTACACTGATCTTTTGTTCAATAAAATGTAGGAGGTGGAGACTATTGTACTTCCGAGGATGAGAGACACTTTAAATGCGGAGAATTTGACACCGCGTGCTCTGTTTACCAAGAATCACAAGGAATTGGTGAAGGAAGGAGAAAGATGGATGAAAGAAACTGCAACTTCTTGTACAGTTGTAGGTGCTCTCATTATTACCATCATGTTTGCTTCAGCATTCACAGTCCCTGGTGGAAACAATGGAGAAACAGGCATTCCCATATTCTTGAAAAAAAAAGTTATTTATGGTTTTTATAGTTTCGGATGCTATATCGTTATTTTCTTCCACAACTTCAGTGTTGATGTTTCTGGGAATCCTTACGTCACGTTATGCGGAAAATGATTTCCTCAAATCCTTGCCAACAAAGATGATAATAGGCCTTTCCACCTTATTCATATCTATCGCAGCCATGATGGTTGCCTTTTCTTCTGGCCTTTTTATCATGGTCCATAACAAATCATGGATTGTTATTCCAATTATTTTTCTTGCTAGTGTTCCAGTCACCTTATTTATTTGGATGCAGTTTCCTCTCCTTATTGAGATTTTCATTTCTACTTATGGAGGAGGAATATTTGATAGGAAAGTCAAACCATAGGCATAAATTCTTGATGGCATTGGTATGTAATGTGTACGTGATATTGTATAACTTTCGTAATGTTGTCACTTTTTTGAATCTTGTATGTATAATAAAAATTTGAAGTTCAATATTTATTTTATTTGCTCGTAGATAGCCTCTTGATTACACTTAAAATGACTATAGTTTGGTGGGCTTGGCATGAACTTGATTGAAATTGAATTCAGGCCAGTAATACAGAATGGCTCGTGGCCCTGCTCTTTCCATCTCTCTTTCTATGCGCCGCCCAAATGCAAGTCCGGCTACAGGAGATAAGAAGAAAATGCATCACAAATTCACATGTGTGAACAAAGACTATACAAGCAAAAACAAGAACTAAACAATATGCTAACTAAACAAAGACCATGACAATACAGCATTCACACATACACCGATCCAATTTCTGTTTTTGTTCCTTTCCTCACCCTGGCTTGTATTAAAGAATGCTTGGAATGAAAAAGCGCGGTCCTTGTTTCGCCAATACTTTAACACGTTATATATATTTTGGAGTACAAACAATAGTCTAAACTCACACACACAACTAGGATGTCATGGTGATCCGAATCTGAGACTTCTGGTCTATAAGATAAATTCTCCTCAGCCATATATAAGAGCCTGTTGGGATTGACATGCGTGTGACTCATCATTGGGACTCAAATTATGTGTCCCTTGCATTACCGTTCAATAAAAGCTGGATTGGATAATGACCAGTTTTTGTTTTAAAAAAAAAAATTGTGTCCAATACGACCAATTTTACTGATGGAGAAAAGATATAGAGATGGGAGCGGATCCACAGTCCCAAAACCAAATCAAAACTAAACTAATCTAATAGGTTTCAAGTGTTTTTAGCTAAATTTTAACAAAAAAATAGGGAGCATAATTGTATATGTTCTTAATCCAACCACCACCATTTTTTTTTTTGGTCGAAATCCCAGCACCACCTTCAACCTCACCATTGCCGCATCGGACTATTTCCAAAACCCAGATCCAAATGCTGGACCTTACCTAGTACCTACCATCATCGACAATGATACTTTTTGAATAATTTGAAATTTCAGTCTTTTGTTTGCTTTTTGTGTCAAGTACTTTTTGAATATTGTGTATCAATTCGGATTTTAAAAATATGTTTTGTTACGAAAAATCTTTGCTGAGATTTCTGATATCCACATGTGAACAAAGACTTAGTCAAAATGCTTATTAAATAAAGACTGACAATTACCAACATGCTAACTACTTTAACAAGTCATTCTTTACTCCAAGTCTAATTCATTAAATTTATTAAACAAAGACTGACAAAATGCTTATTAATCTATATTTCCTTCACTGTTTGAAATCATTAAATTTCATGGACACTAATATTATTAGCATTTTTACAGCAACAATGACCAAATTTATGAAGAAGGAAAATAAACTACAAAACTCTTTTCAATAAGGAATTCGTTGGAAACGTTTTGAGGGTGTGTGTGTGTAAACTCCTGTACAATAAAGTCAGAGAAAGCAGCGGGAAAGAAGATAGAAGATGAAAGAAAAGGATTGCCCATTAAACAAAAAAAGGAATAGAGGGGAGAGAGAATATAATAAAATAATTAATAGTCTTAAAAGTTGGGCTGCTAGGTTGTCCGCAATGTTTATTTTTAAATTTGAATGATGTGTGAAAGAAAAGGATTGCCCATTAAACAAATGCAATTCTAATTTGATAATTTAAATGGTGTGTCAAAAAGTGTGATTCTACGTATGTCTCATAATATTTTTAAATTTGAATGATGTGTGAAATACCATTATTATCCTTGCATTATGATTTTTAATTTTTTTAAGACATGTATGGCACATTTAGTCTCTTTGAATGATGTGTGCAAGAATTGAGATGGTATTCAACCAAGGGTATATTACTACTTGGATAAGAGTGTTTTGGTTGTTCATGGAGTGTATACCTTTGTGTAATTAGGCCATCCCCAATGGTTGGGGCTCTAAAAGGGTTTATAGAGCCCCATTTAGAGCTCCGATGGAATTTTTGGGGCTCTAAAGGAATCTCTCCCACAATTAGAGGTTTTATATTCGGGGATCCATTTATGATGTAATTTGATTTATGTGCTATTTTTTTTTTTTGATTAACTTATTATGTTTTAATGAATGTTTTTGTTATGTTAGTTTTTTTATGTGAACATTTCAACCCAAAAAAATCAAAATTTGGACAAGATTTAAAAAAAAGTGATTAGAGTTAAGAGAAAAAACTAGCTATTTATTTATATATAAAAAGTGAAGACATTCATTTGAAAAGAAAAGGAAACGGTAGAAGAAGAGGAGAGTACAAAAATAAGTTTTTTTTATGTGCTAGCGGGCCCCGTGCATGTGGTTTGGTAGGAGAGTATGTGGGCACTTGCGCGTCTTGGGCGATTGAGGAGAGAAAAAAGTGATTCATGTGGGAACCACTCGGGCTGAAGGATCTGCATCCATGTCCACATATTTGAGGACAGCTCCGGCGGGTCTTTAACATGTAGAGCCCAAAATCTCTCCCATTGGGGATGCCTTTTTGGCATTGGGCTGCATATATGAGAGATCTGTGGTGGTTGAGCCCCAAATGAAGCCCTCATTGGGGATGGCCTTACTCACCCTTCGCAGACCCCCATTGCTTTAACAAGTGGTTCTTCACGCAATTGGGTATAGTAAATAAAACAGAAATTGCAAAGCCTCTCTCCTGAGTTTTTCATGCATTTCCGATTTTATTTGTAAATAATTCGAACTACCAATAATAATAAAAAGAGGTGAAGAAAAGATGCGTTACCTGCTCACGAAACTGTAGGTTTTACCTTAAGATATCAGCCGTCCGATTGGTCTTGGAAGTCGGTGTTTGTTTAATCCGAGAACGATCTAACGGTGACAACTGCAAACTATTTGGATTCTCTGTGAAACACGTTTTAACTTTTATACAGGGAGAGGACGGTATCTTGTCAACTTTTTCCCGAGACGATCAATCAATCCATCAAATCAAACATCAGAAATATATAAAAGAAAGAAAGCCAACTGCTGGTTTGCTTGTTCACCCTCATCTGCAAAATTTGCACCATTTTGGTCTTAATGGTACGTATTAGGCTTTAATATTCTTTTTATTTCTTTTTTATTTGTATTTTTTGTTGTTGGTGATGACTAGTAAATGCATGGTTAGTTTGGGTTTCAGAGAGAGTGACACGTAGGTGTATATTCTTTCGTGTATATCTCTCTCGACACGTGACTCATCATGTGAAAAGAGAGATAGACACAAAGCGGTATATTATGTTGCAGTAAGTTTTAGCCAAGTTTTGAGGGGATTGAACTTCCTCTCTTTTCCTTTGTTATGCTTCATTTTATGGGGTGAGATATTAATGAAATATGAACTAGTGGCTTTGTGAGACCTCTCTTCTTTGACCAATTAATTAACTTTCTTCCTTTTTCTCTAATTAAGGTTAATTAACCTTCTAAGAGAATTGAACTGACCGTGAAACGAACACGTGGACTTTCGGTATGAAGGCAAGGTTGACATGTTTGATTGTGAGTGTCTGATGCATTGCATCTTGCATATGGAATAAGTTGGTCCCTGTAAATTGAATTGAATTTATAATTATAATGGTTTTGTTTAACCAATGACATCTAACAATGTCGTCAGTGTCAAGTTTGATTGTAGGGGGATTATTGCTTAGAAAAATAAAGGAAATTAAAAACTAAAAAAATAAAAAATCAGTTGAGAAAAATAAAAGTGGGAAAAAAAATACTTTTGAGAGATTACAATAGTTGCCAGCATAATAAAAGTGAAAAACAGAACTGACAATTAAAAGAAAAAGGACACATCAAAGAGACGGAAACAAGAGGGAGGAGAAAAGATAAAGAAAAGAAGAGAGGAAAAGTGTCCTAAGTGGAGTTAGCTTCAGAGGGTCTAAGTGAAATTCTCCATTTCTATTATCTTCAGCGATATCACCGGAGTTCATCAAACTTTATTGGTGAATTCACAATGTGATCGGACAAAAGCAAGTGTGAATGATTTGAAAAAATCCCCTGCCAGTATCAAAGACCGACAGAAACGAACCAGCTGTCCATTTGACGCGTTTTTGGGTCTACCATCAGTGCTGGTGGCAGTAGCCAGTAGGGGCCTAACAGTAATGAGCGTGTGTATACAGTATATATATATATATATATGGCGCAGATTTCGGGCAAATAGTAAATCACAAAATCCTCACCCTACGCGGACCCCCATTGCTTTAACAAGTGGTTCTTCATTCAATTGGAAACCCTCTCCTAAGTAAGCCCTTGGTCAGATCTATCTAAGAATGGCCGTCTCCGCAGATGCAGCTGTTGTGGAACTTCTTGATAACAGTAACTATGTGGATTGGAGTGTATTGGTTAAAACTTACTTGTTGGCTCAAGACCTTTGGGATGTAGTGGAAGGAGACGAACAAGAAGAAGAAGAAGAAGCTGATGATAAGTTCAAAGCTTGGAGGGAGAAGAATGCCACGGCTTTACATAAAATCCAAATTTCATGCGGGCGGGAAGCTTCTTCCCTCATTAGAAACACCAGTTCAGCCAAACGCGCTTGGGATACTTTGGCAGAAAAGTTCAAGCCAAAATCAGGTAAGTCCCCAGTTCAAATCTTGAACCTCAACAAATCTGTGAGAAGTAAATATTCGACTTTAACCATAAATATATATATATATATATATATACACATATTATATATAACCAAATTATACTCTAAACATTTAATTCACTAACCACAAGACCACTATTTCTTGTGGTTCTTCACTCAATTGGGTATAGTAAATAAAACAGAAATTGCAAAGCCTCTCCTAAATAAGCCCTTGGTCAGATCCATCTAAGAATGGCCGTCTCCGCAGATGCAGCTGTTGTGGAACTTCTTGATAGCAGTAACTATGTGGATTGGAGTGTATTGGTTAAAACTTACTTGTTGGCTCAAGACCTTTGGGATGTAGTGGAAAAAGAAGAAGAATATGACGAAGACGACGACGAAGAGGAAGCTGATGATAAGTTCAAAGCTTGGAGGGAGAAGAATGCCACGGCTTTACATAAAATCCAAATTTCGTGCGGGCGGGAAGCTTCTTCCCGCATTAGAAACACCAGTTCAGCCAAACACGCTTGGGATACTTTGGCAGGTAAGTCCCCAGTTCAAATCTTGAACCTCAACAAATCTGTGAGAAGTAAATATTCGACTTATACCAGAAATATATATGATATATATAACCAAATTATACTCTAAAACATTTACTTGATTAACCACAACACCACTATTTTTGTTCTTATACTAGCACGGGAGTAAGGACTGATCAGTTTACGTTTTGTTCTTTTACATTTTGGTCTCCCTAGACTTACTGTATCCGAAAAGAAATATACAAGTTACATGTATAACAATGTGGAAATAAAATCTAACGGTGTCAATTTACCCCTTTGGCTTTATTTATTTATTTTAAAATAGTTAATTTCCCCATGAATCACAAAACTACCCAATTTATAACCCATGCTCATATTCCGAGCAATTCCATTCAAGATGTCAGGCAAAACAAATTTAATTCAAGATGTCAGGCAAAACAAATGATCATCTCACGCCATATTCTTTACAAAAAAAAAATTGTCTTGAAAGCCTTCAAAAGTGAGTCAATTACTAAGAACCTAACTTTTCAAAATGACAATTAGCGCCACTTTTTGTAAAGAATATGATGTCAAATGACCATGAGTCTCTTAAAAATATTACTTTAATTGATGTAATTGGTAGGAATTACAGTTGGGTAAATCAACCAGTTTTGTATAGTTTATGGGAAAATTTGGTTGAAATAAAAGTTTGGGGGTAGATTGACACAATCTATATAATTCATGAGGGAGGGAAAACGAACTATACTTCATATCGTAATCATGTATTAATGTAACAAACGTGCTGCAAAGAGTGGAGGTTTTACTATTAAAAAAAAAATTATATATCCCTCCAATCACATTATTGAGGAGACACTTTGTAGGGGCATTTCGCATATGAAAAACTTGTTTTTTTCCTTGGATAAAAATGTTGGGAATGATAGCGAAAAATAAAAACTAATAAATAAAAAATGTTGGGAATGTTATCTGATATCATTAATAAATTAATTAACCAAACTTTGCGCAGGATATTACAACTACAATCAGAATAAGCCGTTGTTCGATGCTGTGTTGAGTGGAGATTGGAATACAGCAAAGGAGTTTCTTACCCTACATCCCGATGCAATAAGAGCAAGACTTCCATCTACAAACGACACAGCTCTTCACAAGGCAATAGAATTAGAGCACGAGCATATTGTGGAAGGGTTGGTGCAGTTGATGTCAGAGGAAGACTTGAAATTAAAAGAAAATGACGGTTGGACAGCTCTTGCTCTTGCTGCACAGAGAGGATATATAGAAATGGTTAAATGCATGGTTAGAAAGAGCATGAAAATACTTAGTATTCCCAATGAGAAGGACAATATGACTCCAATTCTCCACGCTTCTCTCAATGAACATTGGGATGTCGTTGATTCTCTTTACTCCGTCACTCCCCTCCAAGATCTAATGCCAAAGAAAGGACCATACGGCGCTACACTTCTTTACAACTTTATTATTGGCATGAAATTTGGTAAGAGTTTTAATCTTTTAACAATGAAATTGATTACTCCTTTTTTTTTCCTTAATCATAAAAACTTGTTTTTTCTCTACTACAGGTATTGCTCGGGAATTAATTCAGTGTTGCCCACAATTGGTCTTTACCAAGGGCCTCTTTGAGACATTCCCGATGGAAGGATTTCTACCTTCTGCATTTCCGAGTGGAACACGCCTCAAATTCTGGCAACGATGGATCTATAATTGTTAGTATTCGCATTCTCTTTCTTCTTACAATTACAATTATATATTTTCAATGTTAGATTGACTGTAATGAACCTCTAAGACTTCAAAATTGACTGCGCTTTTGAATCCTTGAAACTTAAAAATAATAGTTATTGATCTTAATGGCTAAGAAATGACAACTTCAGTGACTTTATCGGAGGGAGGGGTTCAAAACATCAGACAAAGAACGAAATGGAACACCCAGATGAGAGTTGTGGAAATGCTGATTTGGTTTTTTTTAATTATTGTTTTAACTTCTCATCTCAAAGAATTGGAAGGGGTTGAGCGGTGGGTCTGTTGGCTGCGAAGGTTTGGGAAGACAAAGGAAGAAGATGAAGGATCAGAACTGTTCTTTTCTTTTTAATATTCTATTTTTAATTAAGAGTTAGAGGTATTTTCACTCCGTTATCTAAGAGGACATGTGACAGAATATTAACATAGGAACATGAGGGGACATTGAAAAGTTAACACAAAACATATATATGCAAATCAATTATGACGAGATATCCATAATTGTAATAGAAATAGTAATTCGAAATATATTGATTGAGGTTAATTACTGTAATTTTTTGGAAGGTATACACATAGAGCGTGCCATCAGTGATATTCATGTGAGTGTTCAAAATGAAGGAAATGAAGAACGTAATCGAATGAAGATCACTTGGTCAGGTATGTTGCGATTATGGTTTTATTTGGTAAAATTTAAATAATTTCTTCTTATGTTATCGAACTCTTCGCACTTTGTAATACCACATTTGTTTGTTTTTGCATTAAGAATACTGAAGAATAACAAATGTTCATGAACAAATAAGAATCGAATTTCTTTGGAATTCGTGATGAACCCTATGATTCGTCCGACATCAAACTAATGTCAGGCCTGCTTACTAGCATGATAGCCTCTTTTCCAAATTAAGAAAAAAAGAAACGAGACTTTCTACCAAAATTTCGGCAGAGTCTCCCCTGAAAATGCAGTTTAATAATCACCAAACTTCAACATGCACAAAGTACGTTTCACACAACAACAAACAGGCCTCCGACCTCACAACCAAACATTTTCTAAAACGTTCTTGCTTTAGAACTCAATATAAATCCACACACTCGTAACACTTATCATAAAAATAATTAGAGAAGACCTTTCTTCTTCCAAATTTCATTTTCCACACTTACAACGACACGAGCATAGCTCAAACAATTCATTTTTGCGGCTGCACCTAGGTTAAACCCCAGGCTACCTACGTACCCCTTGCTGAGCGATCAAGCCACATATAGTTCTTTCGTCAACAATCACGATTCAGATAATATTCGATTGTTCAAATAACACTTATCGTAAAAATAACGATTTAATTTAGTTTCATTACAACATCAAATTCGACAAGGCACACACTGAACACTTTACAAGTTCCTTTTCTTATAACAGTTCTTTCCCGCAACCATACTATATCCAAGGCGTATGTTGCCGAACAACCCTTTTCAAACCATAAATCAAACATTCATATATGTGTAGAGTACTCACAAAGCACAAGTCTAAGAGTCTCACTCGAAAACGAATCCACACATATATAGTTGATATCTATGTATGTATGTATGTATGTATGTATATACACACACACACACACACACACACACACACACACTTATATAAATATACACACCTCACACCATCATCATGTACCAAGGGAAAACAATCCAATTGATGAATCATTTGACTAGACCACAAGAAGGAATCCTCAACAATCATGTGGCGAGGGATGAGCCGCCCAACCCGGAAACTGGGCTCCCGGCATGCACATCATAATCTTCAACACTCGTGCACTTGTGACAAGTCCTACGCGTGCAGACTACCCCTCTAAGGGTCTACGAAACAACTTGCCAAGAGTGCCCGGTTTTCTACATATTCAAGTATCCATATCCAAGTATCCAAGTGCCTGGGAAGGGGGGACAATCCAACCGGGGATCGTTTGGCTGAACCACACGGAGGAATCCTCAACAACCATGTGGCCAGGGATGAGCCGTCCAACTGGGGGACTGGGCTCACCAGCACGCACACAGAATCTGCAATACTTGTGCACCTGTGTCAAGTCAGCAGACTACCCCGCTAAGGGTCTACGAAATACCTCATCCAGGATGCCCGTGTTCCGATCATATCCAAATCATAACTACAGTTTCCAAGTATCCATTATCCATCAATGCCAATGTCAGTATCCAAGGGGGGTGGGGGGCGGGGTACATGAGATGGCTTGCTATCGCCAAGATCCAAAATTCACTTTCTTAAACTAATATGTATAATAAAGATAATACTCTAAAAATCCAATTTGCAAAACAAATCATTTCCATATAACAAAAATATATATAATAAAATAATATCCACGCTTCCTTTTTGAAAACCCTATTAAAACCATAATTAAGAAAAAAAAATCAAGATTAAATAAACCCATTCGGTTTAATTAATATTCAAATCACTATTCATATTTTTAGGAAATATACAACCTCTGAAAATCCCACAAGACAAGATAATAAAATCCAAAACGCCATATTCAATTTCCCAAAACCATAGCCCATGCATACATACATACTAACTCCGACATTCTCAAAGATATTGCAATTCAAAAATCCGTAACCACATAAACTATGTACCAGAATCAAAATTCAATATCAAAATCACATGAAGCTCATCACATACTTTTAGCATAATTTCAAAGCTATCACACCCCTCCGTCTCTCAATTTTAGAAACCCTAACCCACCCATCCATCTATGAATTTTCAAAACCCCAACCCATCCATTGCTAAGATTTGAAAACTTGTGCTAAAACTCAAATCAAACTCAAATTCCTAAAATGAACCAAGATCAAAAGAAAATGAATAACTGATAATTACAATGAAAAATACCTGAGAGATCTTTGAGCTATTCGTTGAAAACCAGCGGGAAATTTCTGTACCCAATCGTACAACCAAAGTTCTTCAGGTCGGATCACTCACGATCGCATGATCAGACGGTCACCATTTTACGTAATCTTTGAACTCCGATTCACAATCCGCGAATTCCTACACTATCCTATGGGAGCCTAGATCAACATATTTGAAAGTGGAGTTGGTCCAACAGTCCGAACATATCGAACTCAGATAACGTCTAATATGCGTAAATCCAATCGACCATCAAACGATAACCAAATTCAAATTAGAGAATACCGTCGTGCACATGATGACATGGGGATCATTTTAGGACCAAATGGGTCACCGAAACTTGGCCCACGCGCCGGCAACGCATGGGTGTCTTGAGAAATTCTGGCGACAGAAAAATTTCTCGAAACACCCATCAATACTATACCTACGTGATCAAGACAACGAGTGGAGCAACTTTTGTTCTTGGATCATGGTCAAAAAGTGACCAGAACTTGCTGGAAAGACGAGTCGAAAATCGGCCAAACTTTAAGCGATAAATCGAGCTCCAAAACTCAAAAATCGATCCTAATAAACCCAACCATCAGCTAGAACACACTGAGAGGGTGAAAATGCATACCTAGATCGACGAAAATGGTGGCCGGAATCGTCGGAACGAGCGTTTGAAACTTTGGGTCAAAACTGGTCGGTTTTCTGGTTTTTCCAGCAACGGTGGTTGCCGGCTGGGGCGGCTGAGAAGTGGGGTGGGAAGAGGGGAGCTGACCGGTCGTTTTGGGACTTGTCCTGGCTCATATGATGGCCGGAGGTGGCGATGGCAGCCACAAAAGCAGCCGGCTTTACAAACGGGGAGGGGAGGCTGTGTCGCACGCGAGAGGTGAGAGGGAGGGAGAGAGAGCAGAAAATTAGACTTTTAAAAAACTGGACTGCGAAATATTTACGGTTGTGCCACTGCACTTCTGTAGATCGTAACTTCTTCGTTACAACTCTGATTTGAGTCCACTATGTGTCTACGAATTCGTAGAGACATGATCTACGTCATGGTGACATTCAATTCCCCAAAATCCTACCGGATTAAAAAGTGACCGAAATAACCATATCCCCAAGGGCAAAAAGTGCCTTCATTTCTTTCTTGCTTACTCTCTCATATGTTTAGAGACAACTCTAGCTACTGTCCTCTTTATAGCAGCTAACCCATCATTCACTACTACAAAAATCAAAATAGACGACGGTAATCCACCGTAGTCTATTCGTTTTTTCAACCGTCGTGAAATTGAGCGACATCTTTTGATGCATAAAACCACGACGGTAAATCCCCGTCGTCTATTATTTGTAAAGGCGACGCTTTTACTCAAAACCGTCGTCTATTATATGTAAATAGACGACGCTTTTACTCAAAACCGTCATCTATTATTAAGTAAAGACGGCGTTTTTTTTATAAAAAGGGTCGTCTATTATGAAGTAAAGACGACCCTTTTTATATGAAAATGGTCGTCTATTATGAAGTAAAGACGACCCTTTTCATATAAAAAGGGTCGTCTATTATATGTAA